AGGGGAATCTTTCCCATACTACATGGTGTTGTTAGTTTCTGTGAGTGAGCTAGCAGTTGCCTCAAATCTTCAATTGAAGTGATTTTTTACCAAATCAGATTCGTCGATTTTAATAGTTACGCTTGATTTGGAGATCAAACCTGAGTAGTTAACGCTCCTTAATCAGGATTTTTAATTTCAACGTTAAATATTTGCTACTAAACGTCATGGTTTGTATCAGCGAGAACACTCAAAAGCAGCGGGTTTTCGTGCATTCGTTATATTCTGCATTTATATATAAAAAAAAACATGTAAGTCGTTGTGGAATTGACTTTAATAACAACAATATCAATCATAAAGCTATGATTGACTTAAAAATAACAAGTAATTTCGAACATCGGCAATCGCCGGCACCGATGGTGTAGCGGTAAGCGTGGCTGCTTCTCCCTCCAGTGTCGAAGGAATTTTTCTGCGGCATAAAAATGTTTGTTCACGTCTTCCATTGGAAGAGAAGTATGGCCGTAGGTTCCGGCCCATAACATTAATGAGAGCGATATCTACCCATGCATGGCAGTTGCCTCCCTGGCGACCTATTCGATTGCCATCAATAAATGGTTTTCTGTATTAGGCAAAGTTGTTCAGTGGACAACAGAGTAACTCGAAATTGTCTATTAGTATACTAGTAAACTTGGTAAAATTTTAATCGATTTTTCCAGAGGGAACTAGACAACCTCATCCTCACCTAATCTATCCACAAATGTCTATTCCGATCTATTCCCATTCACATGTCATCGCTGCCAAGTATTTTGACGTAGGACTACGTTTTTCATTTCTATACTGGGGGCACACTTTGTGAAAACCGCAAATGGAACATGTAACGAAATTATGAAAGATTTTGAACATTAATAACTCAGCTGCTTCTGGACCAATTTCAATAATTTTATCACCAATCGATCAAAAATCTTCCGACGCATCTATAACATTGCTTTTCGATTTTCAACGTGAAAGTATTAAAAAAGTGGTATTGTCAAGCATTGTCCAATGTACAAATAAAAAGTTATAATGTTATCACTGTTTTCATGAAGCAAACGTTCTTCCCAATCATAATCGAGTACCACTTGGTTGCACATCATTCTACTTTAACCTGAAAATATATAAAAGAGCGCTACTGTATGGCATTAGCTCAGATCATCATTCTCTGCTTGTCCGTCAAGCAGTTCAGTCCGGTGCTTGCTCGCTCTGTCGAGTTGTTCGATAATTTATTCCAAACGTTTATTCGCGTCGTCAGTAGTGTCGGTCACACCGTGTGATGGGAAGACAGCGCTCCCGGAGCAGGCTCCGAGAGAAAACGGAGAAGAACAGTGGTGAGGGTAGCACGAGTGTACCTATTTCAAATAGGTACGCTACTCTTCCCACCGAAGTTGGGGATACTACCTCCGCCACGGTGAAGCGATCCAAGAAGAGGAAGAAAAACCAAGGCCAGTCCGATGGTGCGAGTGGACGTGATGATGTCACAGCGACGAACGCCAGCGACATCGGTGATTTCGGCGACGCCATCGACAACGAAAATTCTGCCGGCCCGAGTGCGGCAAAAGCGAAGCTACCTCCATTGGTGGTGAAAAATGCCCATCTTAACACATCGCGGATCAAGCGATGCTGGGCGTCAAAGCCGAATATAAGTAGGGCAGAGTCGGCACCAAGGTGGTGCTCCGTACCAAAACGGAGTATGACTTGGTCGTCGCCCACCTGAGGACTTCCAAGGTGGAATTCTTCACCCACGACATTCCCGGTGAGAAGCCATTCTAGGTCGTCATCAGGGGCCTACCAAACTTCGACCCGAAGTTTATCGAAGCTGAAATCAGAGACCGGTACAAGCTGGCCCCAAGTGCCGCTCAAGAAAACGCGGCGTTTAAATGCGCCAACTGTGGTGGTGCTCACCAAGGATCCAACAAGCAGCGCCCTAAACGCGAGGATTTCAAGCGCATCCGAAATCAGGCGTCCACCAAAAATCAACCAGCACGAAGGAAGGATATGGCCCCAGCTTTCAGGGCGGAGGACTTTCCGCCTCTTCATGGACAAGCGAATCCAAGGGTGCGATCCGGCCCCCTCAAGAAACGTCTGGATCTGCTACTGGACAAAGCTCTCCATCCCCGCTGGATTCTGGAGACAACCAACAGCTCAACCAAATAATCCCGATCTGTTCTCAGCGGATGAATTGATGGAGATTTTCATCAACACGACCGGTGCTCTACGTAAGTGCCGCAATAAGCCCGAACAGATCCAAGTGGTCGGTAAGTTCATCATCCAATATGGTGTCTAAACCGCTAACCATCGTTACCTGGAACGCTTGCTCTGTAAAGGCAAAACAGATTGAGCTTGCCGACTTCCTCCGCAAGCATAGCATCGACGTGGTTCTTCTAACCGAGACCCACCTAAAGTCCGGTGACAGCTTCTGGTTGCCTGACCACAACATTATCCAACTTGATCGCACCAGGGGGGGGGGGTGGTATAGCGGTCATCGTCAGAAAGGGAATCACGCACTTCTATCATCGAGGCCGTTAGTGTAGAGGTGGAATCACCAACTGGAAACGTCCGGTTTAACGCTGTTTACTGTCCACGCCAGTGTACCACAAGCAATGAACTAGGAATCCAATTCAAAAAGGACGTGACCGCCATCACCCGTACTAGCTCACGATTCATCGTTGGGGGCGACTTGAACGCCCGCCATAAAGCGGAACTACCAGAGGAACCGGAAGGGATGTCTATTGTTCGACCACGCACAACATGGACTGTACACTGTGCAATTTCCGGACGAACCAACTTTCATCTCTCCGGCGGGAAATCCCTCCACCCTGGACTTTTTCCTGTCAAACATCGGACTATCCAAGCCGGAGGCGCACAACGATCTCAGCTCCGACCACCAACCGGTGGTGACTGAAGTCGGTGTCAACGTGGTTCCTGCTAGAAGCTGCCTGCGTAAAGACTACCACCATGTCAACTGGGTGCAGTACAGACGAATGGTGGACAGCAACATCAATGAAAATCCTCCGCTCGACACCGTAGATGACATCGACCGGACGTTGAAAGGACTCCAACAGGCCATATCCATGGCTGACGAGGCATACGTTCGACAAGTTCCTGTGAGGGGTAAGTTTGTTGCTATTGATTCCCACACCCAATTACTGATTCGGTTGAGAAACGTTCGTAGACGCCAGTTTCAGAGGACTGGAGATCTTTGCAAAAAACGTGAAATGGCCGATCTGAACAGGCAGATTGCTTCCAGAATGGACTCTCTCCGAAATGAAAGTTTCGGGCGTGTTGGCCAGAATCTAAAAGACCGCTCCAGACCATTTTGGAAGGTAGCCAAGGTCCTGAAAACTCATCCCAAACCCATCCCACCTCTCAGAGTCGAAAATGATGACGATCGGCTTTTAATCACCCACAGGAGAAAGCAAATGCGATCGGCAGGCATGTCGCTTCATCGCATTTGCTTGGCTCGACTGTCCAAAGTCCACTCGATGGTCAGGTTGCGTAATGCGTTTTAAAATCTAGATGCCTCCCCTTGTGTCGTGCCTCCGGTGGATATGAGAACAGATTTGCTCAGCGCTGAAATGTACCAAGAACATGAAGGCTCCCGGGTTTGACGGTATATTCAACTTGATCTTGAAGAGACTCAGCATGAAGGTTCACTCTCTTCTAACCACTATCTTCAACAGATGCTTGGAACTGCACAACAATCCGGTAAGGATCCAACATTGCCTTCAAGCTACAGACCAATCAGCCTCCATTCAGCGCTGAGAAAATTGTTCGAGAATCTCATTCTCAATCGTTTGCTCAAGTTTGTCGAGGAAAATAACATTCTCCTTCCGGAACACTTTGGATTCAGAAAGGGGCACTCCACCAATCACCAGCTAGTACTGGTGATGTATAACATCCGATGTAACAAAGCTGTATCCAAGTCCACAGCCATGGCCTTGAGGCAACAGCGACTAGTACTTTTTCGTTCCGCACCCTCCAACTCCAACAACCCTTTCGATGGACACCAGAAAAAACCTTAACAGGGCGACCATTTGAAAAACAATAGGCCACCAATTCAAAAATGGATAGAATTAAGATAATAGATTATCGATCAATTGAAAGAACTAAAGCCTCAACATATTTATTCTGTCCACTAGCGGTCCTACTTCATGCTTTCGTTCGTGCCCCTAGGCACAGACTGTTGAGACTAAGGGTTATACCACTCACTAGAGGTTCAAAATTTTATTCTGCGACCTGTCGCGGTGGAAGAATTGGCAAAGACTGACAATGATAACTTAATGTATAAACCTCTGCAGCAGCAGACACGAGAAGAATCCTCACAAACAAAATTAAGTGTGTGTTGGTGATGGTGTCTCGCATTAAGAGGATTCGGCAGCACTGGTCGAAGGCGAAGTTACACCACATCGCAAAGAATAACGTTAACTACAACATCGCCACCACCTTGAAAACATGATTTTCAAAATTCAAATGCAAAAGGCAGATTAACAAACTAATTAAAATTACAATGGTTCAATTCAAATTTTCCTCTTGGAGTACTTCAGGTTGGTTCTCATCCGATGGCAGTTGACTGTACTCCGTCTCCTCCATCGGTAGCATACAAATTCTGGTGAATGGTCGCACGATGACTCCTCGGTTTGTGCGCACTGAGGCGACTCGAACTAGGTTGTCTTTGCCAGGATAAACGGCAATTATTCGGGCCAAGGGCCATTTCACTGGTATCTGATACTCGTCGGTCAGCACGACTAGTCTCCCCGGCTGGATATCTGAATTGGGATGACAGACTTTCGTGTCGCGTTGCAGCTCCTGCAGATATTCCGTCCTCCAATGGTGCCAAAACTGCTGGTAGATACCCTGAAGCTGGTGGTAGTGACCGAGGCGATTCAGCGGCGTTCGATACAGGTCGTGATCGGGGAGCAAGTGCATTGTGCCACCGATCAGGAAATGCACCGGAGTGAGCGCAGCGATGTCATTCGGGTCCTCACTTAATGGTCCTCGAGGTCCTTGAGGTCATCGAAGGATAGCTTGGAGTTGCCGAGTTGTCGGTACAGTTGACGTTTGGCCACTTTCACTGCTGCCTCCCACAATCCTCCGAAATGCGGTGCCTTCGGTGGACTGAAGTGCCAGGTGATCCGCTCACAAGTTCGGTCTGATGTGATCTGATGCCTTCGCGTTTCTTCTTGCAGCATTCGGTAGACCTCATCCAGTTCATTCGAAGCTCCTTCAAAATTCTTTCCGTTGTCCGAATACAGATCGGTGGGAAGTCCACGACGGGCGATGAAGCGTCGAAGTGCAGACAGGAATGCTGGAGTCGAGAATTCGCTCACCAACTCGATGTGTACGGCCTTGGTGCAGAAACAGACGAAAATGCACACGTAAGCCTTCGTTGCAGCAGCTCGCTTGTGTACTGGTTTGACGTAGACCGGTCCTGCATAGTCCACTCCAGAAACAGCAAACGGTCGACCAGGCGTGATTCGGTGTAGAGGAAGTTGGCCGATATGTTGGTTCGCCGGAACGGGGTTGGCTCGAGCGCATCTATAGCACGTACGAATGACACTACGGACGAGTCGTCGACCGTGGATTGGCCAATACTTCTCTCTCATGGCTGCGAGAGTAAGGCGGCCGCCACCGTGGATGAGCGATTGGCGGTAGGATTTGGCAATTAGGCGGGATAGAGGAGGGTTGCTTGGCAATAGAGCGGGATGTTTGGATAGAAAAGGCTGGTCTGAAAGGCTTAGTCTCCCCCCTACCCGAATGGTTCCATTAGGGTCTAGAAATGGTGTCAGCAGACGGGTTGACGATCGCCTTCCGACAGCTTTGCAGTTTTGCAGGTCTCGGATCTCCTCATGGAAGGCATCTGCTTGAGCCAGTTGAATCAGTGTTCGTACGGCGACGTTCAGCTGTTCGACGGTTAGGGATGTACTGGGAAGCGAACCAATAAGAGGAAGTGGTTGCGTACGGGCTTTACTACGAAGATTGGCGATGAACCGAAGGATGTAGCCGGTTACACGAAGTAGGCGGTCGTATGAGGAAAACCTGGCGATGATTGGGTTGACAACGCTGGATACTTCATGGATCCTTGCTACCGCAGCTTACGTCGCTCCTTTCCGGCCTCCGGATACTCACGGAGCTTCGTGACAGGCCATTCCTTTTCTGGTTGTGACAGCCATTCGGGACCCCTCTTCCACAATTCGCTGGCCAGAAAGTCGTCAACGTGCATGCCGCGGGATACAAGGTCCACAGGATTGTCCTTACCGGCGATGTGATTCCAGAACGCACCATGGTGTCGTCGAACCTTGGATTTCCGAAACTCGGTTAGCTACAAAGGTTTTCCAAGTGTTGGGGGGTGCTCGCAGCCACTGCAGGGTAGCTGTTGAGTCCGACCAAAAATGTGAACTGGCGATGGAAATCTGGAGCGCCTCAACGATCCGAGAATGGAGTTTGGCTGCCACGTCCGCAGCGCACAGTTCCAAGCGCGGCAGCGAGATCTTCTTCAGCGGTGCGACTCGTGATTTAGAAGCAAGCAGTTCCACGCGAATCTTTCCAGTAGAATCCACACACCTGGCATACGTACACGCTCCATAAGCTGATTCCGATGCATTGGAGAACGTATGGAGTTGGATGATGGAGTTCGGCAGCAAAGCGTATCGGCTGACACGGAAATATGCAACTTTCGGAATCTGTCCTGCAAACTCTTCCCAGGAATTCGCAATATAGTCCGGAACTTCGTCGTCCCAACCACACGGAAGCAACCACAACCGTTGCATCAGCATCTTGCCCCTTATGTTAATCGGCGATATCAACCCCAAAGGATCAAACAGTTGTGAGATTGCGGAAAGAATGGAGCGTTTAGTCGGAGCCCCCTTGTGCTGATGGATCTTAAAGTCAAAATGGAGATTGTCGGATTCGGATTCCCAGGAAATGCCGAGAGCTTTCACTGTTTCATTTGCTTCGAACTTGATCGACGACTGCGTGCCAATTTCGTCGGATGAGAGACCTGAGAGGACCGATAATTGGTTGGATGTCCACTTCCGAAGTTTGAAGCCGCCTTTCTTCAGAAGTTCATTCAGTTCCGTCCTCAATTGTACAGCGTCTTCGATGGTTTGGGCTCCACCAATAAAGTCATCAACGTAGAAGTTTTTTACGAGGTTTGGTCCAGCCAGTGGATATATGCTGCCCTCATCATTAACCAGCTGCTGCAGCGTACGTGTAGCAAGGAAAGAGGATGGACTCAAGCCATATGGCACCGTCATCAACTCGAAAATTTCGATTGGATCTGACTGGCTGAACCTCCACAAGATCCTCTGGAAGAGTGTATCGTCCGGATGGAATAGGACTTGTTGGTACATTTTTGCAATGTCGCTGACCAGTGCGACAAGAAACGTCCTGTACCACGGGACCTACTAACAGAGCTAGACTAGACTGGTTCTTGCTGCTGTCTTGAACACGACGCATATGACCAAGGGAGAGATATTCCGCCATAAACTTGTGATATTCTTCCTTCAGTTCAGGATTACGCTCGAGTCTTCGTTCCAGTAGATTGAATCAGTTGAGTGCCATTGACTTGGAGTAGCCGATCAGCTCGTCAAAGTTGGATCGACGAGGCAGGTGTACCATGTATCGCCCCTCTGGATCTCTCGAAGTGGTAGACGAAAACAGTTCTTCGCGCTGCTTCTCCTCTAATGAATAATCGGACCGGACCGGCAACTCTTCAAGCTTCCAAAATCGCTCGATGCTCTCTTCCAGATTGAACAGGGATACCGCTGCAATGGAGCGTGGAGGATCCTGAGACTTATAGTAGGTACTTTGCTTGCTGAGCCAGACACTAACCACCCGAAAACGCTGTCGATCAGCGTGGGAAGCGATTCAGACAAGTTGATCCTGTTCGCCGATTGGAAGAATGAGAAGAAATGTTCAATCCCCAGAATCATGTCTATTGGCGCACGCTTATTGAACTGGGGATCAGTCAGGAAGAGCTTCGGTGGAAGGTTCCAATGATCTACTGGAACATTGTGGACGGGTATCTCAGGAGTGACCTTGCGAAGAATCAGGAAATCGGTACCCACGGAAAAGTTCTCCTTCCTGAACCGGATCTGAACGTGAACGAATTCCCTGGACAAGAACTTTCGTCTTGCTTCGCTTCAGCCTTAGTAATTGAGCCATCTTCTCGGTAATCAGGTTGGGTTGGGATCCACAATCCAACAGAGCACGTGCCAAGTGCTCCTTGCCATAGCGATCAACGACCACAACGATTGCTGTTAGCATGAAAACGTTTCTCTCAATCTCTTGAGGCTGTATACTGCAGTCGGTCTCCGTTGGTTGGGTGGATGCGGCTGCCGATAGAACGGACGATGTTGACTCGTCACTCGCTGAGGCCAGATTTACGTTGGCAGACACCTGCGTCTCATTACTTGATCCGGAAGTAATTGGATTGTCTCCGAATCCGGAATGGAGTAGAGAATGATGACGCCTCTTGCAAAACCTGCACGTGTATCTCGACGGACAGTTCCTCGAGAAATAATCAGACCGGAAACAGTTCAAGCAAAGCCGATTCACGTTGACCAGGGTCAGCCGATCAGCTGCACTCATTTTCTCGAACTTCATGCACTTCACCAACGGATGGCGCTGTTCACAAGCATAACACTTGATGGGAGGACTATCGACCGCTGCAAAGGACGAAAATTCCATGTTGGAGGCTTTTCGAGTGGAAGAAACATGAGAGGTGACGTACTGTGGCATCGTAGGTTGGGTTCTCGGTCGTTGATGCATGAGACGCCCACGCCCACGCCTTGAGAGAATCGTCCGGAAGGCGAACGCACAGCAAATGCTCCAATATTGTGCTCCAAGCGTCCCCTGGTTCACCGAGCTGCCGTAGAGTTTTGGTATGCCGCTCGAATTCTTCACCGATCCCGTGCAACGAAGCTGTCGTCTCCTTCTTCACCCATTGGATCTCTAACATCGCCTGCAGGTGTCGCTTCTTGAGGAGGTATTCGTTTGCATATCTGCTCACCAGTGCTTGCCAGGCCAGTGGATAGTTGGCAGCACTAATCGTGAATGACTCGACGACCTGAGCAGCTTCTCCAATTAATGATGACTTCAGGTAGTGGAATTTTTGGATATCTGGAACGTCCTGGTTCGAGTGAATCATCGCCAGAAAGGTGTCATGGAAGACCACTCGTTGTAATCCCCGTTGAATTCAGGCAGAGTAATCGTCGGAAGCTTAAGACCCTTGATACTGGAGGAAACCGTAGGGGGGTTAGGATTGGAATTGCCAGTAGGAATGGACGACGGCAATTTCGAAAGCAGACCAGCCTTTATTCGGAAAAATTGGCTCTCAAAGCCGAAACGTATTTGGGTGTTAAGGATTATACCTGCGTTTGACTCCTCGATGCCTTCCAGAACCGCCTGAATGTCTTCAAGGCTCTGCCGAATCGTATCCAGATTTTCGATTCGCAGTGCCACCTCTAGCCTATCCCGTCCTTCTTCGTATGCCTCCAGGAATTGTCCCGCTCGAGCCAACGATGCCAGCAGTGACGTGCGCCGAAGCACTAGCTGCCGCTTCTCCTGATGGTCCGCCATTTTGCAAGGCACTCACGTACGCCGATGGTGATGCAGTAGCTCGATGGGCGAAGCGACCGGTTTCTTTTGCCAAGGCAAAAATGTGCCTTGTATTTAAAATATCAGCCAACAGGAACAGGAAGGGTCGTCGGCCACCGAAACCTCGGTCGGCCTTTGTTACCGTCGTGGCAGGAACGACTGCTTGGTACCCACCACCAGAGCAGCCAGGCACCGTGCCAGCAGTTGCCAGCGGATGAAATTTGATGGAAATAGGCCTTGGAGCGGATGGTCTTGGATGACGTCACTCAGCAGCCGTCGAACGTGCCAAAATCGTCCGAAAGTGGCAGTAGGAACCGTACGCTTCTACAGGCTAATTCTATGCCTTGTTTTAATTAATATTCTAGCAGCTTCTGTCCTAGGAAAGATGGCAGCAGTCGTCACCACGCGGTCCTCTTAATCGATCACAATGGCCGATGCCTCACAATTCAGCTCAGCCAATTGTTTCGCAGTTTAGCAATGGCGCTATGGATTAGCACCTCGGCAAAATTTTATGGCGTTCGAAATCGTCGTAGTACAATGTTCTGTCGGTTCTTGATAGCATGCGAATGTAATCTATCCTGGTCACGGCACCAAATGTTGAGACTAAGGGTTATAACACTCACTGGTGGTTCAAAGTTTTATTCTGCGACCTGTCGCGGTGGAAGAATTGGCAAAGACTGACAATGATAACTTCAGTGCTAACATTTGAAAACGGCGCAAAAGCCATTTGTAAACAAATGGTTTGTGGGCCCTTTACTCGCTACCCGAAGAACGCCCACGCAAACCAACAGCATCGTCAGGAAGGGGAAAATTTCCCCTACCCGATGTTGCTGTTGTGTCGCGTGGGTGTACTTCAAGTAGTGAGTAAAGGGCCCACAAACCATTTGTTTACAAATGGCTTTTGTGCCGTTTTCAAATGTTAGCACTGACTTAATGTATAAACCTCTGCGGCAGCAGACACGAGAAGAATCCTCACAAACAAAATTAATAGCGAATTCGTTTATTATTCAGTTCCAACCTGGATCGGGTATCAAGATTGGGTCTGCTTGTTTTCTGACAAACGTCAGTTTGATCGTTTGTTTTTAAAACCCAGCTCAGGTTGAGGTTCGCACTGACAAAAAGTTCGGTTTCGCACTGGTTCCAACCCCGATAATAAACGAATTCGCTATAAGTGTGTGTTGGTGATAGTGTCTCGCATTAAGAGGATTCGGCAACACTGGTCGAAGGCGAAGTTACACCACATCGCAAAGAATAACGTTAACTACAACACAGACCCTTCTACTTTTTTATCATATCCTCTCGGTTATGAGGCTGAGCGGGCATTTTGTCCTGTTTTTTCGATGATTCTCCGTCTCGATGATTCTCCATCTGGCAGCTGCTGAATATCTAAAATATACAAATTACTGTTACTCACAATATAATTTAAATAATCTAAAATTCTCACTTCTACTTTAACCGCCCGTCCTAGACGTAGATTTACGTCTTGGTAGTATTGCTAAGTCTTTTTGCCGTTCACCATGTGAATGAAAATTTTGTTATTTAAGTTGTCCTTTAAATGGTACAAGAAATATATCTAGATACGAAATTGCTTGATTTACTTTAGGTCTCAATAATACAACTTAACTGTTGCAATGTACTGCTTAGATGACCTCTCAAATCATGCATATAATGGGAGGAGCAAACATGTTACACTTTAATTGGTAAGATGTTATTTACTACGTGATATTGTATGAAACTGTTGAGTAACAAATCTAACTTGTGTTGTATGAGAGTTCCATAAAGCATTATGTATCTTGAAATTTGAGTGCAACAGAGTTTGAATAATGTGTTTTTTTTGTATTTATTGAGCAACTGTTGCAAGATGTTACTAAAAAGTTGACGAACCAAGATGTGTTGAAGAACCTATTTGCAATCTTGTCCCAATAAGGTGATACGTTCCAGCGTCCGTAAATCATAGGCGCTTGTACTGCCACTTCGAGTTTCATAGGGAGTTAATCTCGGACACCATTACGATTTCAGGAATTAAATTTGCATCATCATATTTGCTGCGTGCAGCAGACATGGACTAGTAGTTTTGTTATTATATGTTTTCCGGTAGCAGATAATTATCCCCTGGAAAAAAGCGAAGTGGCATCAAAACCCGGGCTTCTGGATCGTATCAGCGTTATGAATCTATAAGTTATCAAACTTCGTTTTGCAACCAACTGGATCAAGTTGTTACTGTAATGGTTTGTTGCCACCATCTAGTAACTACCATGGCTCAAATATATCATGTCACTGTGATCCTGTAAACCACGTTTGGACTACATTGGTAAAAGCGGAGAAATAGTAATGCTAACATCTGCCAAGACCATGACGAGAACGACTGGCGTGGCCGTAGTCAGTTTAAAAGGCCGTTCAATGGGCCAAAGAGAACGGTAAGAAGCCTGAGGTGGCGTTGGATCCACTGTTGCTGGAGCTGGGGACACCAAAGACGTTGGCAGTTGTTAATACCGATGTCGATGTATGCCATTGAGGATGCGTTAGAGACAGAGCTCGTATTTTCCGGAACTGCTTGCGAAATGAAAACGACACCAAACCTGATGTGACGGAGGATCTGCATCGATGTCGCTACCACTTGAGGCTGCATTACTACTGACAAGTGACGTTTAGCGCACGTACATACACAACAAAGTCTATTGTTGTTCAAACTATGCATTTGCTACTTATTCTCAACATAACGGACTAGACATAATTGCTAAATTCATTCAGG